CATGTGGCGTACCTCTTGGGGACGGAGCAAATAAGGCATGTCGTCCAAGCATGTCCCTGGGGCTATACTAAAATGGTTTGGAAATGTGAAGGCACATCTGCTGCTCAGTCATTGCTCAGGTTTTGGCCCACGTGAGTCCAGCAAGAGTGGAGTTTACCACTATCACAGGGCAAAAGTTTTCTGGGGGAACTAGAGAAGGCAATAACTGTGGCTTGTAGCTATGGTATTCAAAGTGTTGTCACAGTGAATTCTACATTCTGCCCTTTTTTTCCTGGTAAAATATAGCCCGGTAGTCACTGGTTCTCTTTTGATGAGTAAATTTGAGAGATGGTTCAGGGTGAGATGGACGAGGGTCTGTCCTTCATATTCCCATGAACACAAGGCATCTAGGAACACTGCTACTCCCAAAAATGTGGTCTTTTGCATTGGCCCAAGAGTAAAACCTAGATGGACAAAACATCCCTTGCAACAAGGGAAGTAACAGTTCTTTCTGTTTATTAGAAACCAAGTTGCCTCTGAGCCAAAGAGTTTCTGGGGAAAGGAAGTAAAGTGAAAATTGGGAAGATTGTGTAAGGAAGCAGAACACAGAGAGTCAATTTCAAGAAGTGCACAAGGGCTGTTTTTCAGCTGTCAGCATGTATGGGATGTGTAGATAGTAGCTGTAGGTAGCTTTTTTAACTTTATACCGCTCTAGTTTACCTTTGTTACTGTATGTAAAAAAGACAACACTGGAAACTTTCAAGCACTTTTCAGATCTAATGGGCAACTACACGTGTTTAATGAAATGGCCTGAATACACAATGGTCTTTAAGTTTTGTTGCACAGTTTAATATGCACTCATCAGAAAAATACAAATGAATAAATGATACCTCTCCAAAGCACAGAGGAACTGATTAACCTTTTCCTCTACATAAGATGTGAAAATAAATTTGATTTCAAAAGCAAGAAAGTGTACTCTTATGTCACGTAAATACATGGACATACACCAACGAAGTAATGGATATTTACCCATATTAGACATAAACATGAATCAAAACATGCTGGCAATGTTTTATTTAACTGAAAAATGACAAGCAGTATGGTTAATACTAATACAGGCCTTGAGGCAAAGATAATCTAGCTACACCTCCAGGTGCAGCAGATATTAAGCCAACAGATTGCTGAGGTAAGCGTCATTGGATTGTCCTGGTAACCAGCTGTATATGCCAGTCCTGTAACACTGGACTGGTGAGACTTTAAGAAACCAAGTGCTTCCTGTGGAAAGTCCTTGGTACTTTCTTTTATCGTACGTCTCTGGCCTATGCGGTGTATACCCTATGGCTCTTGGCCCAGTGAGTGTTTAACTATGTGGTTAAGTGTGCCAGGAAGCTTGCACTCATCAAGACCTGCTGCATTTTACCTTTGTGCAGTGGCTGGGATGGCTGACCAATACGCTGGAATCCTTTAAGGCAACGTTGAGGCATGTAACCTCATTAGGAAGCAGATGATTTAGCAGGATCATTCCAGGAAGCCCAACACAGACAATGCAACTGCTACTGCCATTATAATTTAGCAATCTGACCAAAACACACTATATTAATAAAAGGACTGTTTTTCACGTTGTTCAGTGTATACCTACATAAGGGTTGCATGCATAGCTATAGAGATGTTGCTAAGATCTTCTTGTACAGATAAGCTTTAATAACAGTGTGTCTGCTTCTCTGATGGAAGCAGTTTAATAACAGACCAGTGGCAAGCGGAGCTTCATTCTCCCACTACGACCAGCCACTTCACTTCATCGCCATCCTGTAGGAGAACTGAAATTGCCCATGGGTTTCTTCAGTTGCTCATTTGGTGGAAGAAAATAAAGCACAAAGGTCATGTTTGCTGAGAAATTATAGTTATAATACAAGGCATATGATTGCAGCCTGATTGCACAGACAGTAAAAAAGAGGAGCAGGAGTTCTTTGACTTTTACACCCTTCCTGTACATGACCATACCAAAGAAATTATAAATCTAAGATTTGGTGACCATTTATTACTTTGGGGTCATATGACTATCTAATGTGAAAGCCTTTCCTGGAAACTTGAAAACACTATGCCACATTCTCCTATGTGGTAGTTGAGAAGTTTACACGCATTTCTCTTTCTTCTTCAGGGGGGCAGACATCTGAGAAAGTTTTAGCGTGTCTTTGATAAAGTACAGTGTGACTGAGTGTAATACAGAAAGTACATAACAGAGTCAGTTCTTGCAGCATGCAACTTTGGCAATTAAGGTCTCTTGCTTTCAAGTTCTGTCCTGTCCTGTATTGATGTTTTTAATGGATCAGCAGCCAGCTTCTCCAGTGTACCCTCACTGGGTATAGAGACAGATTTGAAAAATGGAATTTGTGAGGGTGTTTAGCATGAATGATGAAGCTTCCACATATGTAATATAGTACTCTATCAACCTCTATTTCCTACTCTTAATTTCTTGCACTAATTAAAATCTGAGACCACTGTCTAACTGGGTCTATAAAGAAAGAATACTGCTTTCACAGGGAAGAAAAACAGGAGGACTTTCTGAAAACTAAGGATAGGTTTCCAAGAGGGTTTATCCATCCTTTAACTATTGTATAAATTAGTGTCAAAGTTCAATAGTTCCAGCTCTGGCTGCTGAGCAGTTCCAACAACTTCACCTTATATGGTTTTGGAAATAAATTAATGTTTCTACTTCATCAATGTTAACTTCCTTGTGAAATATTGAAATGACTAGTAACATATTTAATGCTGATACTAGTAAAAATGTGTGGGATCAAGTAAAGCTTTTTGAACTCTAAGCACTTCACATCTTTATAGTAATTAATTCTTATAGAGATTACTTTTTTTCTCAGACATTAATGTGCATGTCAGTTCTATTCAACCGTAGCACCACACAGTCTTTTGAAAGGTCGTTGTGCCAGGGTAGAGAGTTGCAGAGTACAGAGTTGTTAAAGATCATTAGCCTCAAGCTTTAGCTTACCATTTCTGCAAAAAATTTAGTCAGCCGTTGTCTTCTACATCTCTGGCACTTACCAGCTGTAAGGTGGTATTTTGTATCTTTCCCTGCATATTCTTTTTTCCTGTCACTAAACAAGTCCACAGAATTTTTTCCTTAAAGGTAGAGGTTGGAAATTACACATGTAAGACAGCTTTTTACGGTAAATTGCTAAATACAAATAGCAAATAAGTGTATAGAAACAGATATATTGATTATAACGTTTCACAGCAATTACAGATATTTATTACCTTCCAACAAGTATCTCATTTTACTAATCTATGTAAACACTTCTATTACAAAAGAATCATAGAATCATACAATGGTTTGGGTTGGAAAGGACCTTAAAGATCGTATAGTTCCAGCCCCCCTCCTACAGGCAGGGACACCTCCCACTAGACCAGGTTGCTCAAAGCCTCATCCAGCCTGGCCTTGAACACCTCCAGGGATGGGGCATCCACAGCTTCCCTGGGCAACCTGAGCCACTGCCTCACCACCCTCACAGTAAAAAAACTTCCTCCTAATATCCAATCTAAATCTACCCTCTTTCAGCTTATAACCATTACCCCTTGTCCTAACACTACACTGCCTGATAAAGAGTGTTTCCCCATCCCTCCTGTAGCCTCATTCATGTACTGGAAGGTCTCCCCGGTGCCTTCTCTTCTCCAGGCTGAACAACGCCCAGCTCTCTCAGCCTGTCCTCATATGGGAGGCACTCCAGCCCTCTGACCTTCTTTGTGGCCCTACATTATACAGTTTTTAAAACCTATGTCTTATTATTTGTCACCATATACAGAGTTTATGTTAGGCAAGTAAATCTGCCTTGTATTTAAAACAATTTTTTGTTTTAAGGTGTTTGTGTTTGCATATTTAATGACAAAAACTGTGTCCTTTACTAATAGCAGTTAATAATTGTTTTATTAAAATAGTTTTCTTCTGTAACTACCTTTTATTTCAACTAATGTTGTAAAGTTTTAGCTGCCTCCTGCTGTGAGATATCAGGCCTTGTGTAAAAATTTATCTGCATATAGTCTTAAGTAATAATCTGGCAAGTAAACAATAACAAAAAAGACTAAGTGAACAATAACTACCCAATGTATGTATCTTAATTTATGTCTGTCACAAATATTTGTTTTCTATTACTGATAGTGCTCTGGCAACCTGGAAAAATTAACATCTTGGAGTTTGGTGTCTTCTGTGTTCTTCAGAGAACATGGGCTTCACACATTTTCTTATATTGTTTCATCATGTTAGAAACAGATGACATGTAAAGCTCTCAATCTGCCAAGTTCTTTTGCTTTCTCACAAGACTACAAGAAGGAGACTAAAGGTGATCATCATTGTACTCATTGACCAGCATGACTCTAAGCAGAAATTCCTGCATTGCTTGGATCATGTTTTATGAGGAATTATTTAATTACAGGTACATAAACAAGTGATGTGAGGTAAAAACTTCTTGTAAAATATACTTACTTTTTGCGGGTTAACTTTAGAACAGCGCATAGAACTGCTGGTAGGGAGAACAGTTAGCCTGTGTAACAGGACATAGTACAGGTTTTGTCCATTTTATGACAGATTCTTGGACACTACATTCTAGGGAATCATTTATTTATTTCTTTTTTTAAAGAAAGGGAGCATAAGTGGAGAAGATGAAAACAAAGGTACCAACGCTTTCTACTCTGGTTGATACTCAATGGTATGTACTTGTGATAGATCTGTGAAGGATGCAAGATACCCAGACTTGAGTATAGTGTATTAATCTTACCACAGGAAATTAAAAACTTAGGACAAAAGCACATTGAGATTTATTGAGGCATTTCAAGAACCAGTTCTGTAAACTAAGCAGGAATAATTTTCAGCAACTGCTAATGAAAGCATGTGATTTTTTTTTTATTATTTTAGATTTAAGAAATGCTTTCTGTACGTGCTTTAAGCATGTACAGAAAATTAAGAGGGAGTACGAAGAAATTAAATTGGTATGGTTAGAGTTTAAGATTCCATGTTTTCATGGTGTATAAGGTGGTGGTGACTGATCTGCAGCAATTTTGTCGTAAGCTGGTGGAGCATCAGGTACCTATGGTAAGGAAAATGGGTGTGAAAGACTGAAAAACAACTGAGGTAAAAGAAAATCACATTAAAAAGGCAGTGAGCTATTTACCTTCATATCAGATGTGGTACTACAGCTTATTTCTGACCTCATTCAGTATGTCTTTATTTTTTTAAGGTTAGGTTTTGCTAATATGTCTTTTGGTTTTGTGTCAGATTAAATTCATTTTGTTTGTATCATTCATCCAAAGACATAATTTTCAATGTTATAAGGACAGGAGTTTTTTAAAAAAGGATTCTTTTTTTTGATACTGAGAATTCAGACTAATATTAAAAGTTTTCTTTTAGAGTCTTGATGCAGGTACGTTGTCTTATTTCCACTGTTAACAATTTGGGCAGTTTATTTAAAATTGGTTGTAAATTAGCCATTTCCCTATTCTAAAACTATTTAAACACACACATAACTTGACACATATATTTATCAATTAAGTTATTTCAACATCTTTAAAATTATATGTCTGAATTATCATCTTTCCATAATAATTAGAGGAGCTAAAACCTTGAAGTTTTATAACGTTTCATGACAATCCGTGTCAGGGTATAGAATACCAGACACAATCCATTTGTTGTTTGTCGGAATGGCAGAATATCTATTAGGGAGATGTTTGTCTATTCAGTGTATTTCAGCATGCAGGTGCTACATCATTCTAATAGATTGCATAATGATCACACAACTTAAGACTAAAGGTAGGTGAAAGACAATTTTTGAAAGAAGAATTCTTAAAAGTAGATTTTTTTAGAACCCTTTTCACAGTCAAAATTGTGCAAAATACTACTTTTGAAGCTCTTATATAGGCATTGAAGACCCAATCTAGAGAGAAAATCTCAAGAAATAAATCATCAACAAGTGACTGTTTACCAAGATTGTCTCACCATGTCTTACTACATCGTAAGTAAATTAAACCTTGAGTTGCAACTTACCACAGAATTAAAGTTCCTGTACTCCTGCAGAGCCATTTTGCAGTCCAGTGTTGTTCCCTCACCTACCACGGTTTGTACTGGGCCCACACTAGGGCTTTTGCTCTGTGACAGATCATAAAGTAATATGGGGAAGATGAAAGGGAGAATGTGAAGTTGGAGCAAATTATGCATAATTTAATATTTGACAGCACATTTAGGATTAGTGTGTATTAGGATCTGGGATTAGGGCCAGATACAATGCCAGCAAGTGGTAATCTGTCTATCACTTTTTGCTGTCTCTGCTAACATATATTCTCTCTCTCCTGTATTATCCAATTACATTGTGAGAAAAATGAGGATCACATTCTTTAGGTCCAGGACTGCTCCAGGAACTGACACTGTCTCACATACCTGAATGCCTTCTCCTTTTTATCACACCCATTTCCTTCTTTAATCTCCAACCTTTTTCTTTTCTGTTTTTACACCATATATTTTGTATACATTCTTTACCAGCTCTCCCCTAGCCAAAAAGCCTAACAAAAATTGGATTTTCAAAACCAGGAAGCAGGAATCTGCAATGAAAAAGAATTTAAAAAGAGATTGTGCTTTTTGCCATGGTGTACAAAGCAGGCATGAAAGAATTCTGATTTGCTTTTTGAAGGTTTTTTTGAGTATTACCTTCATTTTTGTAACATTTCACTATGAAAGTTCAGGTTTTATGTATTCTGACAGTTGTTATATGTATTGGATAGATCACTGGAAACGTAACAGGACAAAGTTATGGGAAACAGCAAGGAAACAGATTTGCTGACTTAGATGAGAGGTATGTTTTTTAATTCCAAGTGGTCATGTCTTTCTCAAAGTATTAGGATAACTAAAATATATTTATTGTAAAACATATAATTGGATAAAGCTTTCACTTTAAGAGAGAGCAGAACTTCAAAGATAAAGCTTTGAGACTTCAAACAACAGATGTTATGAGAAGGACTGTACCTTTTTTTAATATATTTTATTAAGAAGACACAAAGTAGAATTTTTTTAGCAGTAGTGTTTAGAAGGCAAACCTCAAACCTACGCTGCCTTTTTTTGTAAATCTTAAAACTACAGGTCAACTTTTATACAAATTCATAATGCATCACCCATACATGAACATAATATTTACTTAGTTACATGCTACAGCTATTTTCTTCTCTACTTCCTAGATTTACTGTAATCATTTCTGTCTTTATTTAGGGGTAAGTCTTAAGAGTAGTGAATATGTTATTTTTTATTTAAATGAAAATAAACAGAACACATCTTGGTTATATCTAAATATTAAACATAATGCTTCCAAGAGATCAGTTTTTCCACTGATCTGTTGTGCAAAGTTGAGCAACTGGCTTTATCTCCCTGTGCTTCTGCTTTCTCTTACCACTCTGCCTGACTTGCAAGTTCTTCAGGGCAAGGTGTGTTTCATATTGTGTGGTTCTGCCTGTGTGTATGCCAGTGGATGTACTGCCTGAGATAATGATGCCCTATTACAGATTCAATGTTCTCTGCGTTAATGTAATGCAAAAAATGTTAATATGTTGTCAAAATAATAGCATTCTAGAAAGTGAGCAGCCATGCTTACCCGCAGTCTTTTGTAGCCACTACGTCTTTTGTAATACCAGCAGCCAAAGATAAATAAAATCGCCAGCACCAAAATGAAGAGTCCGATACCCAGAGCTCTGTTGGGAAACCAAAGCAAAATAATTAACACCACAACTAGATGCATTCTTCTGGCAGCAAGAACGGTTAGAGCAAATATGTTAGTAGTGTTTTATCAGAGGAAGGCATAGAACAGAATTTAGCTCTAGAAAATAGTCAAAGTATCAGCAGCTTTAGCCAGTCTCAGTAGATTAAGCGATTAGCTAAATTATCTGCCAAGTTCTTAAACATTTTAAAAATGAGGAATATTTTGTTTGGAAGATGATAATCTACCAGTGACTGTAAATCCAGCAAAGAGCATTGCAATATTGGAAGAGAATGTGAAATAAATTAAATGCCACACCTGCAGGGACACAGCTGATGTTTATTTGTTACATTTCTCTAGGCAGCAAATGTTGAGAAATATATCCTAATTGCATCATATTGCAACAACTGCTGGTGACAGAAGGCTTTTTTGGATGCCTTAAACTCTATGCAACCTCAAAATCTGAGTAAGAAACTTTGAATTATTCATAAAGAGCTCTATAATTCTTTAGTTCTTTTCCTGTGACATACTAGGGACAGTATTGGTGTCACTCGGTCATTTTAGGGAACGTGGGTTTTGCAAACTGTGCTGGAAGACCTCCTTCCTGCTGCTTACTCAGGACTTTGGAGAAGTAGGGGAGTTCCACTACCTGTCAGAAAGCAAGCTGACAAAGTAATTGCAAGTTTCCTAGTCACAAAACCCCTTTTTCTTGTGCTAATATCCTCCCTGTTAAAACATGCAGAATTCACTCCTTGTTATTTTGTTCTTTGCCTATTTAGGAACAGAAGAGTCTGCAAAATGCTCAAAGGGAAAAGAGGACTGGAAAAAAAAAATTACCACGAGTCAGAATAAACTCATTTTAAAATACTTTCATATGTCTCATATCCAGTTGCCCTCCAGTAATTACCACCAAGTTTTTCCATCAGAACTGAGGAGTAGGGTATGTAACTTATCAGAGACCTTTTATATCTGTTTGCTGTCTTTTTCACTGACTCAGAGTCTTGTGAAGGAGTGTTGCCTTGTGACCTAAGAAGCCTGAAAGAAGATGCAAGCAGGTTCATATGGCAGAACAGGCTGTCTTTGTCTCTGAACTGCCTGTGTGCTGTTTGAAGCCTGAAGCCCCTTGGAGCCAAAGAGATTTTTTCACAAGTACTTGAATCTTGCAAGTTGCTCCTGCCCCTTCAAGACTAGGTGTTGCCTGGAGATCGGTTTAACCCAAGAATACAGCTCACAGCATTCACTTGCTTCCTGGTGCAGCCGTGTTGCAGCTGCTTCTCAAAGTTACAAGCTGGCTGCACTGGTTTTTGTACTGTCACCAGAAGAGCCAAAACTTAAGAGAGACTCTAAGTGAGTGCTGCCTTTTCTGCATTTTGAGACTGCTTTCTGCTTTTCATGTGCTCTGTAGCTTTAGCCGTCCATTAGCCTGTATCCCCCACAGCATGTATGTCATTTCTGGAGTTCATTATGTTAACTGTGTATTTGCCATCTAACTCCTTCCCAACCTGTTCAGAGGCTAGTATGAAAAGTGTCCCTGAAAGTTCTTGCAATTCCAATTAAAGTTGCAGCTGTGGTATTAGTCATCTGTGCTTGTATCTTGAATGTCCTTTCTGGTACTGGAAGGAGAGAGTCACTTTTCCTTTGCACATGTAGAAAAAGACTGCTTACAATTGCAGCCACTGGAATTCACGGCAGTTAGAGGGTCGCGTGCTTAGAGTTTCAAGTGCTGAGACATGACTAGACAGCTTTCTCTTCTGGAGAACTGAACTGCTGTGGAAGGACTATGAGAGTGCCTTCCCCTTTGTTTATTCTCTCTGCCCAGGGATGAACATGGAGAAACAAATATCTTGCAGAATGTGTGTGTGTGGGACAAGTCACCAAGTTTGGGGACCAGTATACCAGTACCAGAAGCACATTTCATGTACAGATATCCCAAGCACATTGAAAATACTTGTCTAAAGTAGTAACACATCACCAGTGGGATAGTGTCGCTAGTGATCCAAGACCCAATGTCTGTTATTGTAAGCCAAAACTAACAAAAGTATTAGCTTGAATTAGTTCCACTTAAATGGAGTCTCAGCCAGGAGCAATTTACTCCAAGTCACATTTGTATGCCATTGATGTCTCCATCTGCTTTTTGATTGTATTTTACCATTTCTCTGGGGTTTTCACTTATATTATTCTTTAGGGTGAGACAAGGTGCCCTTGAGGTTCTAAAGAGAGGTACTGAATCTGGAGGTGGAAATTAGTGTAAAGATCACCTTGCAACAGCCTCAGAAGAAAATTCTAAATAAGCCTCAATAAACCTGGTAACTTTATTATAGAGGTTAATGACTTGTGATCAAAAGATCAAACTCTAGATTATTGGATTCTGCAATTCTGGTTCTTCTTAACTGTTGAGGGCTCTTTGTGATTCTGCAATGACAAACATTACAGACAACTACAGGAGAGGCAAAATGCACTCCACCTGTATCAACAATGACTTTTTCTGATACTATTTTGTACATTTCTTTCAATGTAATTTTTTTCACCAGTTTACACGCTATGATAATAGGCTTTGCTTTATGCTTACTCTTCTGCAAGATAGCTGTGTCCTTTCCCTCTGAAAAAGTTGCCATCTGGATGTTGGTTTCTTCTGGGCATTTTGTGAGCTTGGTCCTGCTCAAACCTACAGAATAGAAATACAGTGCCTCTGTGCAATAAATAATTTTTTATCTTTAAGCATAATATTATCAACTTTTTTGTTTTAACAGGAGCATTTTAGGGAGGCAGGACAATCTGATATCTCCAGATCCGTATACATATGCAACTGTCACAATTTAAGGCAAAACCCAAAACTGTAGCTATAGTCTGCGTTTGAATAGCTCCACTGACATCAAGGTATTTGCACCTGAGTGCAACAGAAAAGAAATTGACACAGTCTCCTTAGGGAGTAAGTGATGGCAGACTTCTGAAGTAAAATTGCTCAGGAATATAGGAAGAAAGGCAATTTACCTGGACAAGAAAAACTATTCAGAAGAAGAAAAACTAATATTGTGCTTACAAGTAGTTGTTTATTTCTCTTATTCCCTGTAAACGCTCAAGAGCCAGATTTTCAATCAGTGTAAACTGATCTGTTGATTTTCAGATGGTTATACTGATTTATATCTGCTGACAATCTGTACTTAAGATGTGCAGGGAATTGGTGTTGTAATCTTAATTTCTAGTTTTAAGGGAATAATCATCCAGCTAAAAGCAGTCTGAACAGTTAAAAATCTAATTGATCCAATATAGTGAAGAAATCCACAAGTAATCATGTTTCTGTCATTTAAACAGCACAACAACAGATCCTACTTGATAGTAAGTATCCAGCTAATCTACATACTTTACACAGGTAAAGTGCAAAACCGGATTACTTTACTGAAGAGAATTCTAGCCAAGGAAACAAAACATTTTCAGAGTTCACTTAGAAACAGTCAAGCCTCTTTTGAAGAATAATTTTGAAACAACACAGAAAATTTTGGGTAGAATAAAAAAATACATATCTTACCTCCTTCAGACCTGTGTTCTGTCTGTTAACTGAAAGGCATGTACAGCTTTCTTTTCCTTGACTTAGTCTGGTTTTTTTCTTCTTTGATCTGTTCTCTTATGACTATCACGAGTTTAAATTCCTTTCAGTACAGCTTCTGAATGCATTAATTAGCATGAAAGAGGCAAGGAGACAACTTTTCGTTTTCTTCTTACAGTCTGCATCCTTCGCTCCTAATAAGCAGCTCCAAAATTTGTTATTTCATTTATTATACACACTCTGAGAAATGGCTCAACTACATTTTACTTGCCTAATCAGTACAGGCTCCTAGAGTGGGCAGACTACTTCTAAATCCAAACTTTTTTTGATTTAGGGCTGATTATTTTGTGTAAACAGAATTTTCACATTTGTTTAACTATAGCTTTGTTTACGCATACTTTTTGCACCATTGTAACACTGTGGAAACTAGTATAGTTGGAGCAAAACTCATAGATGGATGCTGTTATATAGAAGCGTCGTAGATTAGGGCAAGTACGGTTTAATTCTGTATTGGTAAGTGAATGCTGCAACAAAAAGAGAGCCTGTCCCATGGGCTGCAGGACTAACGAAGCCTGGTTCCTATGGATTTGTGTGAATTTCCTGTGCTCACACTGTATTAATTCCATTTACACTAGGCAAGAAATATCAGTCTGTGATTAATTCAGAGGTCTGGGTACTGTAATGGGCCAGCAGTGTTAGCTACTGCCAAAGAAAAAAAAAAAAAGAAAGAAAATATAAGAACCATGTTCTGCTTGTTATTTCTCCCAATGAATCATTAGTTTGGGCCTCTCTATCCTGCCACTGACTTTTTTTTAAGTTTGAGGGACTCAAAACTTTAAAGTTTTTGCTTATCTTTGAAGCTGTGAACCTGGCTCTAAATGTGGTTGAAAATGGCCAACAGACTCAAAAATGAATAGGAAAGAACAGATGGTGTGAGAGATCAACATCAATTTCTTCAGGAAATCAGATGAAAAGTCTTAACATCAATATTCTTAGCTAGTTCAGGGCTGGGAAGAGCCAGACCATTTTTCTGCTTTTGTGTTTTACCTAATTATGGTAGAAATCTCATCTTTCTTTGGATATTTTTCCATGGTGGTGCCCAGTGACAGGACCAGAGGCAATGGGCACAGACTGAAACACAGGAGGCTCCAGCTGAACATCATGAAACACTTTTTTACTGTGATGGTGACTGAGCCCTGGCACAGGCTGTCCAGAGCAGTTGAGAAGTTTCCATCCTTGGAGATCTTCAAAAGCCATCTGGACATGGGCCTGGGCAAACAGGTCTGGGTGGCCCTGCTGGAATACGGGGTTGGACCAGATGATCTGTAGAGGTCCCTTCCAACCTCAGCCATTCTGTGATTAGCACCAGAAGGATCTAATTGTTTTTGCTAGACCCATTAGAGTTTGAAACCATACATTCTTTGCAGAGGGAAAAATAAAGGGAGCAAGAAGAATGAATGTTAGTGAGAAGCATAAACTTTCTAATTTAGCCAAATGGTTCAGTGTTTCTCTTATCCCAGATTAACTTAATGGGAGTTCCAAAGGTGAAAGAGAAGTAGGGAAAATTTCTGTAGATACTGGTATGTGTAAAACAGTAAATGTACACTATCACAGTCTATCAAGTTGCCATGCAACATGCCAGACCTTGTGAGGTACTCTCAAAATATTGAAGAGCTCATTATCAAGTCATGTGTTTTCCTGAAGAAAAGCTTCACTTCTGGGAGAGGATAATAACTGAAGGGAACTGATTGTTCTTGTCAGAATCAAAACTGAGATGTAAAGAAAATCCATGTGATAACAAAACTAGTCTCTGCCCCTTCCTCGCCTCAAGCAGTGTGGGGGGCAAAATGTCAACTGATTGAATATTTTGTGTTGTGAATGAATCTCTTGTTAATACTATAACAAGGAAGGGAGAAAAAGAAGAACTTTGTCATGGGTCTGTGGTGCCATCTGTTATGTAAATGCACAATGCTGCTGTTGAAGAATTGGATAGATGAGAAGGTGAAACACCATATCCTGGTTCTGATCTCAGGTTTTTTACAAAATCTTGTTTCTCTGAGGTGGTGCTGCTAATTCCTTCAATGTAAAGTCACTGGAATTGGTGGATGGATTCCACTGGTGTTACAATTTTAAAGATAACACTTCAGGACGAAAAGATGATGGAAGAGGAGTACTTCAGAGAAACTCCAAAGCAACCCAGGCCTTTTGTGATAGCCAGCAACCTGTCGCAAGCCTAGGACACTCTGATGAATCTTGATGATAGGTATGAAATGAATGTTTCAAGTGTAACTGAAAATAACATCCTTGACCTTTTCAAATGAATAGCAGTGGTTTTTATGCTGTTGGCAGTGTAATTCCATCTTTCTAGGACAAGATCCTGCAATTTTTATTCATTTATTTATTTCCCTTAATTGATAATCTTTATTTTTCTCTGGCATTTGAGGCTTCCTACAGCAGACAGAGCAAAGAAACATAAGTACCTTGACACCTGATTAAGTAAAGGCTTTACTTTTGAGTTTTATGGGAATTTCAGTGGAAACTCTCTCAAGGATTTCAGGGCTAATTCTACATTAGCAGTAACAGAGTATAGTAAGAGTGAATAAGGAGATAATACTCCTTTCAGCTGGTGCTGAGGATCCTCATCTCTCCATGGTTTCAGTATTTACTCTGAAGTAGGTATTATCTGGCTTCCAGGGCTGAACCGTTCCACTATAGGCCTGACTTGGAGCTTTTTGAAAATAAGCTATTCCTCAAATTGCTGCTATCTCAACTGTAGGCACCTCCAGGAAGCAACATGTTTTCCTGTAGACTGCTTTGCACTGACACCATTAATATGTTGGCATCCTAAAAAACTGGTTCATGAAAATACGTTCATCCTCAAGTAATTTCCAAGTGAAACTTTGGTCCTTACTGTCAGGCCCATCTCCGTCTGCTCCATCTCTGGATGATTTATGGTACAGACGCAGTAGTAGTCTTAATCCTGTAGTAGCTATTCCAAGAGGATGCCATGAATGCAGTGGTGCCTGTGTTCCTGCACCTTGTTTTTCCAAAGAAAAAAAAAAGATTGGATAGCTTTCTGGCAGTGGGGTTTTTTTGCTGCTACTTTGTCCATGGTTGATTGAAGGTTCAGAGCCCAGGGAATTGTTCAGATTTACGGGACTTTCTCTGAGAGATGCAGGATGACAAACCATGGGTGAACATCTGGATTCAGTTGGGTACTATCAAGGCAAGGCAGAGTTATGACTTTCCTTGCATGTAATTTCAGGAGGCCATACCTGGATTCAAGAAGATGGTGTTGCTTTCTAAAGCCTCACAGTCCTGCTTCCACCAGTGAGTGGCTAACTGGTTTGGGATGAGAAACTCCATGTAGGTCAGCTGCTGACTTAGGTCTCTGAGACTATCTCGGAAAATCTTTGTTTGCAGAATGTTAATATAGGCAATGCTACATCATTAGGAGCTTGGAACAAAACAGCCCTTTGCAAGTAATCCCTGCAGTTGATAGTCCGGTGAAATTTAACTTGGAATATTGCTGCTACAGCTGAAGTAAAAGCAGTCCCAAAATGAATACAAACACTTAGTACTTTTTCTGTGCTACTAAACAGATACGTGGTCATCAGCTGACAGAGTGTCCAGGTGACTAATACTATTCAGGTCATTTAGCAAAAAAAAAATAAAAGCATTGCTTTTCATTTCTGCCTTCACAGGGTCACAGGATCCTGTTCAGACTGGTGGGGACCTGGGGAAGTCTCCAGCCCCAGCCTTCATCCAGAGCAGGCTCAACCATGGGCTTGGACCAGGCTGCTCAGGGCTTCACCCAGTTGGGACATGAAACCCCCAAGGATGGAGATGATCCAGCCTCCCTGGGCCCTGGTTCCACTGCTGGGTTTTCCTTGTGGCTCCAGCCTGAGCCTCTCGTGTTTCAGCTCGTGCTGCTACCTCACCGTCCCACCACACGCTGCTGTAAAGAGCCCAGCTGCATCTCTTCCATCCCACCCATTGGTGCCAGGGATGCTGTTGGGTGCCCCCAGAGCTGCCCCTCCTCCTGGCTCAACCATCCCTGGTCCCGCAGCCCCTCAGTGGCCTTTTGCTGAACACA